ACCGCTCGGCGTGTCAGCGGAGAACGCGGTACTGCGTTAGCTAATAAAATTTACGTCACATATGTAAAACCAGTGGGACCATGCCCAAGACACCATCCACGCAGATATAATTTGCTTTTTAGATATCATTTTTTGCTTTTTCCAATCGCTGTTAGTTACGTTTTATTGAAAAACGCAAAGTCATAATCTGCTTGCATCTGGTTTTTATGAAGCCGTCCCAGGCGTGAACTTTTATATTTAAAAGTTTTATCTGCACATCACAGTCGGCTGTCAGATGAGTGTCGAAGCTGTTGATGGTAATTGTTGTTCAGAGTTCTCTGGGACGTCATACATCCCGAAGAATCGGAGGACCACATTGATTTGTAAATGTTCATTTTGATAGCCTCCCAAAGGCTCAGCTGAATCTTTTTTCAAAGCGTGTGCAGTTGAAGTTAAGGTTTATTTTGGTACAGGTAAAACCCACTGGGCAATTAATGCAAATTTTCAATGGGGGATTTGGTTACACCATATTAACCTGGTTACTACAGCAAAACAAACCACATAAACCAACAAACAACTGTGTGTTCCCAAAGGCACGGTCGTGCATCAACATCTTTGTGCAACCAGCACAAAGAATACAAGGTCAATAGAACGCATCACATACACACGTGGCCGTGACAGCCGTGATGGTGGTGGCCAAGACGGCGGAGGAACCATCGTTTAACTCTTGTACCGACTCCAGCAGTTTTCCCTTGCAGTCTGGCCACAGAGTTTGCTGCCCTACAATACCACGGTGAAGACGTTAACCGGTCTTGAGCACCGGGCTCACAGTTTCAGACTGCTCCATTGTAACTTCTCTTCTCGCTGTCCGACGTGTTTTCGTCTCGTACCGCGTGCCGTGTGTCCCCAACATATCGCTCTCTCGCGTGCTGGAAGCTTCTTTAGGGACCGGAACGTCGAGACGTCACGCGGAGCGGCACGCGGCGCGATCAGAGGTCGCGCCGCGCCGGAGAGCCGTGCTGCGCGGCCGCGAAAAACCTATGCGGCGGCGTTTCTCTTGTTCCTAACAATAATGCTGAGGCAGTATTTGCCGCTGGCAGGTAGGAAACTTAGCGGCGATGAAGGCCGCATCCCCTGTGCCACGGTGCAGCACCGCACACACCGGTGTTAGTGTTCTCTTTGAAGTGCCGTCCCGGGTGGCTGTGTGCCGCTCGGAATCTCACCGGATCCCACCGTGGATTACCCGCGGGCCACGGAAACCCATTGCCCCATCCCTTTAATTGCTGTGAAGTTTGAACGCGTAAAGCGGGCGGTGAAAGGGTTTAGTCTGCATTAAATTAGCATTTGAATGTAATCCATGGGCTCAATAAACACAGACTAGCGAATGCGGTCCCCGTTCGTATGACTTACGCTGCGTACGTTATTTCCCTGTGCGTGCACACTCACGTGCATTGAAGTTAGATGTTGCTCAAAGCGTTTCGACAAAGTAACGTATTAAAAGCTTTAATCGCACGAGCTTACTACCATTGAAGCTGGGCACTTAGTTTGGAGACGTCCCGAACTCTCTCTGTCGGGGGCCGATCGTGATGGCTGACCGTCGAGAGCGTCTGCCAGAGCGCACAGCTCGCCTATTGAAACACCTCTGGCGTACGCGCTTGTTTTTATGTCGTCTTTAATCAGCGCTTTAGAGCCTGCCAGTTGTATTAATGTCGGCCGTCCCCTGTAACTTTTATGCCTGGAAAGATTTTCATTACAGAACCGTGGTAGAGTGTCTGGGTGCCGTGTGGAGCTGGCAAGACGGTCACTCCTGCTAACTAGGGAGCCATGGATAGTGAAGAATGCTGAAAGAATTGTATCGAGGTGGGCACAAATGCCCAAGGATGTGTCTTCAGAGACGGACTAACAGAATTAATGTTGTTGCGTCTTTACTGTCTGAGCCCCCACGGCCCTGCGAGCCTCAGGAATCTATAGTAATTTGTGTGCCTTAAGTGGCGCAAGGAGCTTGCAGTCACCCGGGCAATTAATTAGCACGACTGTGTCGCCGTTCGTGCCAAGCAACTCCACTTGACAAATGAGCAAAACGCTGATCTGTTGTGGGGCTTTCAAACAGAGCCGTCGTCTGTCACTGGCAGCTTGTAGTTGCGTTGGCTTTTCGTCGCATAAACAGTATATGTAAAAAGGCGCGTTCAAAAAATTTGAGCCGTTCATGTCAGGAAACGTGCGGCCGTTAGGATGAAACCGCTGGACGAGTTGTGTGTTCTCTTTGCGTGCAGTTGTTTCCCTTTCGCGGAAGCTCTTTTTAAACCCCGGCACGTCAGGGGTCGAGGGGGCATCGCCGCGATCGGAATTGTCAGCGTTTAATTGTAATCTCCAGATTAATCTGGAAATAAATTTGAGAAGGGGGTGGGGAGGTTGAGATTGTGGCGAGGCTTGAAGCCGCGTGGGCATTGGATTGGGGCAGTCGCGCGACACAGACCTGGCAAGGCCCCCGCAAGGCTGTGGGATGGATGAAAGCATCTCTGCCTTGCAAAAAACACCGTTTTTTGCGACGGCTCTCATTAACATTTAAAGAAGTGTTGCTCCAGGGATCGGTTCAATGTGCCTTTCCCAAAGTGCGAGGAAAGGCTGAGAAAATATATTGTGTTGGAGTCCTGGTGGGGTTTGCATTGTTCCTTGGCTTTGTTGGCTGTGCAATTATTAATGGCTGTACAGGGAATCCCTAATGAGTTTTAATTGTGTAGGGTTTTCTTAAAAGAAGCTCGAGGCCGATAGAGCGTTCTTGCAAGTGCTGCGGCAAATTACTGTTATTAAGTAAAGCTTATATAATGAGAACGCATTTAAGTGCAAATCCGTCACTTTAAAATCATCTGTAATGTTTGGAGGACATAATTTCCGTCGGCCGCGTTTCCAGGCCGGACCATTAGAAATGGATGTTATGCAAGTCGGCCTATCGACCAGCACAGTGATTTGAGCAGGGCAAGAAAAACGCAGAGCCTTTGCCCCGTATTCAAAATCCTCTTAAGGGGTATATTTATGGAAGGGAGTTCTTTTTTTTCTCTATAATCTTGCATTCCAAGGGTATATAATAAACCACTCACTCTCACTGCAGATAATGATCCTCACTCGGGGTTCTAGGCGGGTGCTCCGTAAACACTGTAGCGCCTTGGTGTGAGGCTGCATTTTTATGGCTAGCGGGCCTCCTAATGTGATTTTGCACATCTGCCGAGACTGACAGCTGCCCACAGGCTTCGAGAGGGCCTCTTCGTTCCGTCTGTTGCAAACGTAGCAGCGGTGGCGCACAGGAAAGAGCGCTTTTAAATTTGGCTTTAGCTTGATGAATGTTTAAAATGTTTAATCTTCCATAATTAATTTGCCAGGCTTAGCGTGTTATATAACGGCGGTTTATAATTTATTCATACCGACGCAAACGTAGGTAGCGTCACGTAAACCACCAATTCATGTTGTGTCCCCGTTTGAAGTGCTGTATTTATTATTTACCGCAATCAGGCGTATTATTTCAAAGCCAGAGGCGTTCCAAAAAGAAAGTTGTCTTGCAAACAGCAGCAGATTTTGTGCTTCAATTGCGAATGCACATTAACCCCGCGTCCGCCCTGCCAGCCACGTGGCATCGGGGGATAATGGCGTGCGAGTTAGCGTTACCGCACCGAACAGTCCGTTGTGGCAAAACTCGTGACACAATCGGCTTTCTGGCGACGCGTTCGAGTGGCGCACGCATGTGAGGTCACGGTGGGTCATCCTGCAGCCCTTGATTTATTTTGAGCAATAGAACAACGTATCTCTAACCTGAAACTAAAACAACCTTCCTTTTTTGTTGTCATTAATACTGCAATCAATGCGATTGCCCTCGGAGCATTTTGTTGCCGCGGTCGGCGTTTGTGCAAAGTTGGGTCCGGTGCATCTGTTGGCACTCCTGTACTGCGGCGCCTGGCAATTTATTCCCTGCGAGTCAGAGGCGTGCCCTTAAACTGCCTTTGACCCTCTATCTCGGGGCCTGTCAGAAGAGCAGATATCTATTTGACAGAGATGTTTGTCTCAAGGACAGCCTTCACTCCGGTGCAGGGAAACAGCATGGGCTTTTTGTCCCGGCCCTATTCTGTGATTTCTGCACATTCCGCAACGGGCAATTCATCTTATTTAGTGTAGCATTTGTTGGTTGTGTACTGCGAAAAATCAGCGTTGAAATAAAATCATTACTGCAATTATTTTTAGTTTAGAAAAAAAAAGGCCAATGATTAATAGCTCGCCCACTGTTGGAATAAATTATGGATATTTTTATGTCGTTCCACTGGCTGCTTGTTGTTCATAAAACATTGTCTATCAAACAAAATGATACATTGTGATTTAAAATAATTAACATGCAATCAATAACTCCCGGGCTTGCAATGTTTTCCCGAAAGCTTGTAAAGCATTAGCGTTGTTGTCTGCTGATGAATATGACAAGAACAGACATTTATTAATCGGTGTGATTAAATGTTCTTCTTCTTCCCGTTCTGTTGGAAGTTATAATTCTTTAAACACTAACGCAAGCATAATTGCTCGATCCAATATCACACATTCATCCCGGTTACAATCCAGTTTATATTTTCATATATCACATGGCCTGTGACAAAGTCGCCCGGAATACTCCCATCAGTCTTGTCACATCTCAGCATTGAGCCTGGATAGTGCGTCGATGGGTGCCCACCAGGCATTATAGGCTGCCGTGGGACTATGCATGTTAAACTTCTTTAGCACCGTACGTAGCCGACCGCGCTAATCGGAGGTGCATTACAATCCGTTGTTGTCCTGTACTTCTGTGCTCCCACATCTACGCTGACCATGTTCACCAACCCACACTGACCAGCATGATGAAGTATGGTCAAACAACCCCGCATGACCCGCACGGGGTGGGGGGGAAGCCCTCGCTGACCAGTGTATTGACAAAAGCGCTGTACGGTCGCTGAACTCTGGCGACAAAATCGTTGGCTCACGACGGGCCGCTTCCCTCGCTGTGTTCGCAGGACTACGCCGAGAAGGAGAAGGCGATCGCAAAGGCGCTCGAGGACCTGAAGGCCAACTTCTACTGCGAGCTGTGCGAGAAGCAGTACTACAAGCACAAGGAGTTCGACAACCACATCAACTCCTACGACCACGCGCACAAGCAGGTGAGTCCTGGCGCAGCAGCGATGCCCGGCGCCCGCGTGGGACGTCGTACGCACCCTCGGCCTACGGCGGACGCGAGTTACAAATGAAGGAGCGTTTTCCCGCGATCAGTCCAGCTGTCGAGTGTGCAGGTGGTGTAACAGCACCGGCGGCCCATGAGCACGAGCGGCCCAAACGCCGGGTTATAAAGAGAGAGAATTGATCACAGACGGGGAGGGCCCATTTAGTTCCTCGCTCCAGGGCCTTTGCCAACTACGCGACGCCACTGCAGCCGCTGTCTAAACGACGACCAACAGCTGCGTGACAATGCATCGATTCGCCTCTTGCGCTACATCGACGAATTGAGCGTGTGAATGTTTGTATCGGTTGTTTAATTTCCTTTTTGCACAACTGCTCGCCCAGATGTGGGCTCACCTGCAGAAACTGTCCGCTGCCGCCCTTGGTTGGTGGCAGGGTGGCGCAGCAGTAACACGTGTCCCTGCGTGAAGTTTTGTATGCTTTGCATGGGTTTCTTCCCTTACGGGTTCTCCAGTTTCCTGCCGTAGCTTAAAAAAAGAAAAACCGTACACTGTAACTGGAAAATCTTGACTTAAAGCTTGCGTGGCTGCAAGCAGGAATTCATATTCTTTGGGTCTTTCGATAAAATCACGTAGATAGGTTCAAAGAAAATAACAAAAAACGACGTTTCAATCGCAACACAAGCGGTCGTCACCAGGAAAAGGGGGATAGCGTCTAAAGGCAAACTGTTTATAAAGGTTTGAAAAAACAGCTTACCTTTACTGATGCAGTTGGGATGGCAGAGAGCAGCATGGCCCCTCTACTATGAAAGCGGTATGATGATATTCATAATAATAACGCAGCCTTGATGTCACAAGCAGTCTTTGCACTGCACTGGCCTTAAGGGAACTCATAGCAAAATGCCATGGCTGGTTTGGTTCTTACTGGAGAGGAAAATATGTATGGAAATTGGTCTTAGGATAGGCTGCACCAGAGGGTGGCGATGTAATTTACTACGGTGTGCGTGGCTTGCGTGTGTGGGTTTTTTAAACGCTGTAACGACCTGAATATGCCCTGTCCTAACCGCAGCATCACTCAGCTCTAATACAGTTATCAGGACGGCACCACAAATGGTGCTAAATCACAGCAGGGTGCCCTGGCAAAGCACGTTAAAGTAAATAAATGTTTTTGAAAAGGGCTGATGGCTGTTCAATTCGAAAGTAATGATGAATCGCGAAGCCCGCGTCTGTGCTGTGTGCCAGCTGCACTGGGTTTGTTTTCCTTTGCCATGGCCTTGCATGAACACAGGGACACATCGGTTGTGATGCCTGTGCAGAGTGGCATCTGACTACTGAGACAGAGAGACGTTTTATTTTTGTTCGTAGGGTACTCGAGTGCCAAGGGTGTACGCTGCACGCCAACGACGCGTACGCGACATGAGTGCTACGTGGCGTTACTTAATTATGCAACCCTAATTGTCTCTGCACACTTCGTGCCATTTATTTAATTAATCACGTTGTTACTTATTTAAGACATGCTCAGTTTTAAAAGGAATTTAATTCGCAGCATTTTCAAATGCACGCATGCCAGCACAGCTACGCGTCGCTGCTATTTAAGCAAAATAGGCAATTTGGCTTTCGCGTTTTTTGCTATGGGGGCCCACGGTGAATGCAGAACTAAATTGCATCGGTTTGTCTCAATGCAACGTTAAACAAAATTACTTGGACAACTTTGACGATTCGACCGTTTTTTCTGCTTGGGCAAAGCTGTGTTCAAATTTGGAGTGCATAATTATTATAGCGTGCGCCTTCTCAATCTGCCCAAATAACTCCCAGGGCACTGGCAATGCACGCATCGCCCTTAGCCAGCCGGTTAAAGTGTCTCGCCGCCCAAATACAGCGTCGCTCGCGTTGCCTCTCGGCACCTGGATGGGTGTTTGCATTCAGAATAAGAGTGCGCGGAAGATGCATTAGTCTGCACCGCCCGAGGGGGCCAGCTACTGCTGTGTTAAATGTCATCAAACATTCATAAGTACCTGCGGCAGGTGTGCCTTGGGCCGCCACATGTCGTCTCACCCGACGGCTGCTGCGCTGCTGTACCAGAGCGTGCGCGCGCGTGCCGGCTAACCATTGAGCAGGGCAGGGAGCGCTTTTTATGCCGGGCGTATGATCACAGGCATCGCTTGACATTGCTTTTGCAGCAGATGTCGACATACACATTCGGCTTTTCTGTGCCGCGTCATTTCGGAATCGTAGCCGCTGGGTCGGAGTTCTGCGCACGTTCACATTGCTCAGCCGTCTATCGTTGCGTGAACTTGTTAACGTTCTGCGTGTCGGCTCGATTGCAAATTGCTCAAGTAACCGGCGATTCCAGTTTATTTGCACGTGCACACAGAGCCCTTGTAGTCAATCCACTGCTGGATGAGGTAGAAGCACAGTACAAGACAAGATGTTACTGCATTGCCCACCACGTTAGCCCCACGGCCTACAGACACGTGCTGTGCATGGTCGTGGCCCATCCAAGCTCTTGTTTCGCGATCCTGGACACTCGGCCGTCGGCTGGAAATCGCATAATGGTATAATTCCCTTCTTAGAACGCAGTCGTGAATCGCTCCCGTCGGTGTTCGCGAGCGTCGAGGGGCCAGTTCGCTGCTGTTTGCGATCGCTGCGGGTGAGCGTGCGCGAATGCCCGCCTGCGCCCGCCTGCGCCCGCCTGCGCCCGCCTGCGCCCGCCTGCACCCGCGTGCGTCGTGCCGCAGCCGTAGAGCGACAACCGCCCCCCCCTCTTTCGTCGCTGTGACCCCGTCCTCCCACGCTCTCTCCCACCCACTTCTCGGCTCATGTATAATGTAGTTGTGGCAGAGATCTGCTTAGTGCCCCCACGGGGGACGTCGGCCTCTGAATAAATGACTTACAAGTGCACGCGGCGAAGGCGTTTTCCATCACAGCGCGGCTCTCCGGGCCGCTGCAAGCCAATCTCAGCCGACTCGGCTCGTTCGCTGCCTCGCCGAAATAATCGGCACCCGGCCAATGCATTAAGTGGGCACCCGAAGCAAATATATCACTGTCACGTTAATGGGCGCCGGGATTTTAAAGTTCGTCTCATGATTGTTTGAATTCAGAATTTCCCGTGGTCGGTGTAAGTGGCAAGTTGATTTACTGGGAGGGGATGGGGGGTGGGCAGTAATGTATTTTTGTTTGAAGCATTATGCATTCGAGGCTGAATAAAACTGCAAAAGGGGATTTGAGTTATTCCAAGGCATGTTCGATTGTGCTTTTGGGTCGACTTTCGAAAGAATAAGTACATACTTGCGTTGGGAACAAAAGTTACGAAGAAAAACGAATGTAGGTCCTTATTTTGAAGAGTGCGTTGAAAGCGGGGGATAATGTCAACGTGATTTGTGAAGCGGTGAGACGTAATCGGAGTAGCTTGTGATGGACGTGGCACCGGCTGAGCTGGCAAGCACCGGTATTTTTCCTGACAGGGCACTTGGCAGCAAAATAAAGTAACTTTGATAATAGATGATCCCTATTAAGATTGTGGTACTGTACAAGAATGGGTAATGAAAAGTGTAACTGCTCGACAACAACTTTCTCCGGGACATGCACTCAAACCGCCCGCGTGCAGAGCCCCAGTGTACATCGCATTTGTCAGTGGAGAAACGAGAACGGGGAAAAGTTGGGTTACGTATCAAGATTACGGCATGCCAAAAAAGTTCCCGCGACAAATGCTCTCGCCTCACGGAACCCGTTTGCTTTTTGCTTTTTTGCAGAGGCTGAAGGAGTTGAAGCAGCGGGAATTTGCACGCAACGTCTCCTCGAGGTCGCACAAAGATGACCGCAAGCAGGAGAAGGCCCTGCGCAGGCTGCATGAGCTGGCTGATCTACGCAAGCAGACGGAACGGTGAGGCTCAGCGCCAGCTCCCGCCTGGCACCACCGCCGCCGCCACCACCGCCACGTCGCCGCCAGCGTGAACAAACCCCTTCCCAAAGAAATGCGAGCCTTATTTCCCAGTGTGGGAAATAAGTTCTGAGCTGCCATCGCAAGGTGTCCTGGATGCCTTCATTCATTGTTGTGGGCACATTCTTCAAGGAACTTGGGCACCCTTAATCAGGGATCCAGGCCCATCGGCTGACGTGAAGAGAATGGAAAATCTCCAGCCGCTGCGCTTGCCGCTCCCATTCCCTATCGTTCACTTGGGGGGCATCTCCGTGTCAGAGCCGGCCAAGCCGCTTGTGTACTCTGTAGAGTGCACCTCGTAGTGCAATTGAACGACTGTGCTGATAATTGCTTCTCGTAAAGAGCCGCCCCTCCCCGCCGCCGGACCTACGGGGCCCTCCGTTAGACGGGTCGAGCGCGCCGTGAGCACGGGGAGCGACTCAGCCGGTGTCGAAGACATATTTAACCTTCGGAGTAAACGCGCGACTCCTCCCCACCTCGGAAAAATAAGGTGTCCACGCGCAAATATGGTAGCTTTCAGGATGGAGCGGTTGTTTGCGGCCACGAAGCACGCATGTCTGCGCCGTTGTAGGATCTCTCCGCAACCCCCACGGTTTATCCAGCGAGACGCAGAAACCCGAGCGCAGGAGTGGCTTGGGTTCGTGGCAGCGCATAAAACCAGGTCCTTGCTGATCTCGTCAAAAAACTTAAAGCATCGCACGTCCTTGCAGCGCTGGTTTTTTGGCTGGCCGTCAAACAAAGATGGTCACCGCATCGTGCTCGTTCAGATGCACTTCTGCGGCCGTCTGGAACCCTCTTTCTTCCGATATTAGGAAGCCACTGGAGCTATGCATTTTTAAATCATCTAGATTGACAAAATGATTACTTAAGAACTGCTTTTCGTGTTTAGTTTGTTATCCTTCCCCTGCACCTCCGACTTGCATGTTTGTCTACGTACGGTGCGAAAGAAGTTCAACGTAAACATACAAGTCGCTTTGCTCGGGGCGCCGAGCCGGCCCCCATCGCAGGGCCGTGCTGGAACCGGCAGTTTACAAGAGCCCCCTTCCCATGAGCAGCACGCTCGTCACATCACACAGCGCCCCTTTTGTTCTTTTGTTAAAGGCAAAGGATCTGGCAAACGCATTGAAGCAATTTGTTTACAGAACGATATGACACAAGTGCAAATGTTGGACTTGACAAGCGACAGGGGAGCCAAGGGGGTCCCACTTCATTAGCGGGGCCACGTGCACGCGCGCGTTGTGGTACGTCGCCCGAGCCGTGTTGTTTCCCACGTGAAGCGAGCGCTGCATTCATCACGCAAAGTAGCTTCAAGATCAATACATTTGTTGCGCCCGTCAGAAATTAGATTTGCGATGCAGGGTCAGAGGGATGTGGTCGCGTGGTATAACGCGGTTATCCGGTTTAACGACGCCCCGCATGGCGCCCTCCCTCCGGGTTTGCCGTGCCGTGCCGCAGAAGAGCGGGAAGCTGAGAGATTGGCGGCGCGTTGATTTACAACGCTTAGCATTCCGAGGACCGCTATAACTACGTTAGCGAGCATGTTCTTGTGGCGGGGGGACCATTAACGTTTGCTCTGCCAGCGTCGCCGTAAATTCCAAGTGTTCACATTAATTGAAGTACCCATCTCTCACGTGTCACCACTAATTTGCTACACCCCTTTCCTGAGACGGAAATACTTTTAAATTAAATTTGCCCCGTTGGCTTCGAAGAAAACTTTGCAAACATGGTAAGCTCCCGGCGTAGTGCGCAACTAGGATCCCAGTTGCTGTTAAGTTTTATTAACGTCTTGATGCAGTGGCTCCTTTTAACTGCTTTGTATGCAAGTAAATCAATTAAATATAAATTGATCAATTAGGATGTAGGATGCATGCCCTTTGAAGTTCGAATGTGTGATGTATCCCGGTATAAATCTTTAAATGTAGCGCATGAGAGTTTTATTTTCTCACTAATTTGCCTTATTGAAATTTCAGCATTTTGTATTAGAGGCTGGTAATTGTTTTTCTTTTACTGCAATCGGTAGTGCTGTTTTAACGCAAGGGAAAAGTAATGAAAATGGAACAAGATTAATGGGTTTTTGCTTCAACTGCAATGTTTACCGATCCAACGTGATTCCCAGTCGTGCCGCGCGTCGTTCGGCATGTTGTCCGACGTTTCGCTCCACCTGCCGACAACTCTTGGGGAACCGATTCCTCTGGGCGAAGCGTCGGACATCGCGCTGAACGACGCGCGGCACGACCCGAATACAAATCGGAGAGCCGTATGGGCATGACCGCATAAAAAAAAAAGCCTATGTGGCGCCGTTACAACGTTAACCCATCGCCCCTTGTCGGCATGCGCAGATCTCCGGGCAGCACGTTCAAGACGCTGTCGGAGGGCGAGTCGGAGGACATGTTCTTTGGCGCCGACGAGCTGGCCGAAAAAATGGGCCTGTACGCCGAGTGCGCGACGGACACGTCGCCGTGGGAGAAGGGCAGCGAGTCCCCGCACAGCAGCACCAACAGCCAGGGCGCCACCGCCATCCTGCCCTTCACGCCCAAGGGCGACGGCGACAGCCCCGCCACGGCCACGCAGAAGCTGGGCGTCTCGTTCTCCTTCTCCAAGAAGAAGGCTCCCTCCAAGCTCGAGTCGTCCGCCTCCGTGTTCAGCGAGAGCAACGAGGAGGTGGTGGAGTCCAAAGAGGTGACGCTGAGCTACAAGGGGAAGCTGACCTCCCTGCCGGAAGGCGTGGTGCCCACGCCGAGCGAAGCCGAGGCTGAGGCCAAGGCCAAGGCCGAGGAGGAGGAGGAGAAGGAGAAGGCGGCCGCGGCGGCGGCAGCAGCCGAGGCCGGCCGTCAGCGGCGCCGACCCAAAGAGCCGGAGATGGCGACGGTGATGGAGTACTACTACTACACCCCCCCGGCTCACTGCAGGGTGAAGCCCAAGTTCCCCTTCATGATATTCTGCAAGTCGGCCGAGAAGGTGTTGGATCACGACCTCGACCCGGAGGAAAAGAAAAAGGCCAAGGAGGAGGCCGACAACAATAAAGCCGCGGCCGGCCAAGCCGGTGACGACCCCGGCCAAGCCGGTGACGACCCCGGCGAGGCGGAAGAGAAACAGCGGGGGCCCGGCGACGCGCCGCAGGCTTCGGAATCGCCGGCGGAAGCTAAAGATGCCAGCCGGCCTCCGTTGGAGCGGCCTGATGAAGACGCCGCAAGCACGGACGCCGCCGCCACCGCTGAGGATGACGTCAAGACTGAGACGGACGTCAAGGATGAAGCGCACTGCTCCTCTTCCACCGCCGCCGCTGCCACCACCTCCGCTGCTGCCGAATCACCGGAGGCAGATGCCGTGAAAGTGGAGAAGCCGCGCAAGGCGGCGGAGCCTTTTTTTTCAGTGCTGAGCCGAGATGAAACGACCACCCTCCAGTGGCCTTCGGAGCTACTCCTGCACACGCTGACGGAGCCTTCCGTCTCGTACAGCTGTAACCCTTTATATTTCGAGTTTAAGCCGCGGCTCAGGCAGCTTAAGGGAAAAGTCGGTCCTGCGGTTCCCTCTGAAGGTTGCGAGCAGCCCGGCGAGCAGCCCAACCCGACGAAGGCGGAGACTCGCCGCGAATGCAAATCTGCAGAGGGGACGGCGGCGTCGGAGGGCGCCGCTGACGAGGCGGCCCGAGGAAGCGGCTCCACCGCGACGGCCCTCCCCTCGCTGGACACGGCCGGGGAGCCCTCGGCGGCCAAAGGCAGCACCGCCGCCCCGGAGGTCCGGGGCCTCGCACCACCCGCGGCGTCCAAAGCGGCCAAAAAACACAAGAAGCACAAGAAGTCTGGCAAACATTCGAAACGCAAATCCAGCAAGCAGAAGGGGGGGAGCAAACCTGGCAAACCCGGCCCGTCGGATAAAGGGCAGCAGGGCGCGGGGACGGCGGGGACGTCGGGGACGGCACCCGAGCCGCAACAGCGATCGCTGAAAAGCAAACACAAGAGGAAGAAAACGACAGAAGATAAGCCCGAGAAAGCGGCGGCGAAAGAAGAAAGTGCCAGAGCAGACAGCGGTGCGCAGGCGGATGAAAAGGAGGCGACACAAAAGAGGCACAAACATAAAGAAGCGGGACAAGCCCAAACGAATGCTGACGAGAAAGGTAAGAAGGCAGATCCCACGCCCCAGTGCTCAAGTGCCAAAACCCCGACCAAGGAAAAGAGCGGCGACAGCCTCGAAGCGAAAGCGCCCGACGGGCCTGGCGCGAAGAAGTCGTCGCGCTCCAAGCCTAAGAAGAAATCGCGGCACGGCAGCAAAGCGCCCGAGAGCGACGCCAGGGAGGGGCGCACCGAGAAGAGGTCGCCGTCGTCCCGCCGCAGCGCCCCGCGTGACGGAGACTCGGACAGCGAGCACTCGCGCGGCGGCCAGAGGTCGGCCTCCAGACGGCGCCGCTCGAGCCACGGCTCGGACTCGTCGAGCAGCCGCGGCCGCAGCTACGACGGCAAGCGGTCGTCGGAGCGCGAGGGCTCGCGCCACCGGCGCCGCCGCCGCCGCCACTCCTCCAAGCGCAGCTACGATGCGCACGATGACTACAGTGGCTCCCAGCGCAGGGCAAAGCGGCGCAGGTAAAAGAGTGAAATCGTGCCGAAAGCAAAGCGAGCGCCGTGCCCATTGCCTCTTACCCTCCCACGTTTCTTTCCCCCTACGCACGTCACGCACGCGGCACGATTTGCAGATGTCGACGGAGTGTTTTTTTCTGCATGGCAAATAAATCATTTTTTTCTCCATTTTCACATCTGAAATGCAGCATTTGTCCATTTTTCCACGCGTTCTTTTTCGCGGACAAACGATGAAATCCATCCCTGAATATCGGTAACCGTTACGATCGGCTCTTGGGCGATTGGCCTTCGCAGGTATTCGTCTTCGTCCGACGCGAGTTACCGCGGGAGAAGCCGCAGCAGGTCCGGGAGGAGCTACAGCCGGAGACGAAGCGGCAGCCGCGACCGCCGCCGGCGCAGCCGCGACAGCAGCAGCCGGAGCCGCAGCCGCAGCCGCAGCCACAGTCGCAGCCGGCGCAGCAGCGCCAGGCGCTCGCGCTCGGGAGAGGGCGGCGGGCGCGGGCGACGCGGGGGGGGCAAGTGCCGGGACCGCTCGTTCGAGCGCGGCGCGAGGCGGAGGGGCGGCGACGACGACAGCAGCTCCGCGTCCCGCGAGCGGTCCTTCCGGAGCCGCTCCGGCAGCTCCCGCGCGGCGACGGCGGCGGCGGCCTCGGCCAACCGCCCGGGCGCCTCACGACGGGAGTGCAACCGGCGCAACGACGACAAGAAGCCCGAGCCGCCGCAGGCCCCTCCGCCGCAGCGCTCCACGCAGGCCCAGAAGGAGAGCGTGGACACGGCGGAGCAACGTCGCGAGACCACGCAGGAAGAGCGCAACCTGGCGACGGCCAAGCGGCTGCTGGAGCGCATTCGCTCCAAGAGGCAGGAGCTGAACTCCCTGGATGGCGAGGGGGCCTTTGCCACCGCCACCAAGGTCGGGATCAGGCTCAAGGACCCTCCGCAGGGTTTCTTTGGGCCCAAGCTTCCTCCCACCATGGGGAACGTCGCCGTGCTGCCCATGATCGGAAAACTGCCCATTTGCAAGCGACCGTGCTTCAAGAAGGACGGCGACATGGACATCTGCACGATATTTTCCGATCCTGAGAAACCCACGTTGGAATCTTTCCTTCCTTTCTCTCTAAGCGCACTCGAGGTCGAAGCACAACCGCTGTTCTCAGACGTGTCGCCCACGGTGACCGAATTGACGCCAGGTAACGACACTTGTGCAGCGTCGAAGCAAGAGGAGCCTCCGAACGATAACGCCACGGTGCAAGACACCTGCACCAACATGGATCTGGAACCCGTGGAACCGACTTCCCTCGCCGACAGTCAACCCCCACCGCAACTGCATCTCCAGCTTCCACCTCAGCCCCAGGTGTCGCCACGGCCCCTACCGCAGCCTCAGCACCAGCCTCAGCACCAGCCCCAACCGCCCCAACAGCACCAACACGAGCCCCAGCCACAGCCCTATTCCCAGTACCACCCCTGGCCACAGTCGAGCCCCATCATATTTGAGGAACCCAAGAGCCCGACGGAGTCCCTGGCCTCGTCGGAGTCGTGCGAGAGCGAGCGCTCCCACGACCGCCGCCGGGCCATTTCGCCGCCGCTCTCGGCCCAGCCCATCTCCTTCGCGCCGGAGGAGATGGAGAAGTACTGGCAGCTGCAGCAGCAGGCCCAGCAGCACATTCAGCAACAGCTGATGGCCAGCAAGGCCAAGAGCATGCCGCCCGTGCCCGTCATGTCGCCGCAGGTGCCGTCGCCCACGCCCATCATCCAGCACGTGGCGGTGCAGCCCCAGCAGCAGCAGCAGCACCCGGCCGTGTCCATCTCGTCGGTGCACCACACCCTCCTGCAGCACCACGCGGCGGCCGTGGCGGCCGGCCTGCACCCGCTCGCCGCGCACCACGCGCACCACGCCCACCACGCCCACCACGCCCACCACCACCACCCGGGCCAGATGCAGATGACGCAGGTGCACGCGCTGCCGCAGCACCACCTGGCGCACATCTCCCTGTCGCCGTTCCCCGCCCACCACACCTTCCAGACGGGCACGGGCGGCCTGGTGCACGTGATCCCCGCGTCGGCGCTGCACCCGACACTGGCGCTGCACCCCATGAGCATGCACCACCACCACGCCACGGCGTTCGTGCCGGCCATGCTGGCGCCCCACCACCACGCCTTCCAGCTGCACCCGCTCATCCACCCGGCCGCGTTTGCAGCGCAAGACGTCCACCACCACCATCAGCCGCCCTCGTCCTGAGGACGACGGCCGGCGCCGGCCGCAAAGCAAGCCGGCGCGCGTAATGCCGCGACGTTGGCGCGGCTGGCGAACTTTGAGAGCGCGCGGGCGAAGATGGCAATGCGTGAGAGGCAGGCATCCCGCGGGCCCGACCGCGACGGACACGTGGGCTCTGTGCGTGCGTCCCGTTCGCATCGGCGCGATGGTCTCCGTGGCGCGCGTGACGTTACGCGCCGTAGTCGCTACCCCGCCCCCCCTGCCCTTGTCCCCTTCTCCTTAAGTTATGCTCTTGCCCCCCTTGATTTCTGTTGTGCCGTTTTCCGTAGCCCGGTAGAAAAGTTAATGAACACAGAGTTAAAAAAAAAACAATGTAAATGTCGAAGGTGAGTTTGAGAATCGAGGAATGGTGTGGGGCTGCCCGGCACCGTGCCTATTGGCGAGACGAGGGTGGGGGGGGGGACGATGCTTGTCTCCGTCTCCGCGAATGCTCCGTAACCTGTTCCCCGCCTCGTGTTCGTTCCTCACGTCATCGCGTCCCACGTTTCGTTCGTTTGATGATGGTGCGTTCCCTCCCGTGTGTTGACCGCCACGAGGATTGGCCGTCAACGTCCCACCACTCACACCCCCCTCGCCGTCTTTGTCAATGAACAGCTTCATCGTTGTTTTTAACTCATCGTTACTGTGAAGTGTAGGACGGTTGTGTTGGTTACTTTTTTGTTTGTTGTCGTATTACGTCGGCGCCTGTGTGTGTGTGTGTGGCGCGTGGCCGTGGCTTTTAAACACCCGAGAGGAGGAACCCGTCGCGTCATCCCGGCAATAATTTTGTAATTCGCCCATCTCATCGTGCTGCGTTATATATTATCAGTGAAACGATGTATCATTGTACGGTAATACAGTATGCAAACAATGGAGCTGCTGCTGGCTTTTTGTATAATGTAGAAACTGCACAGTTGTAAAGTCTTTAAAACGTGTGTGATGTTGGTGATGCGTACTGTCCATTTTTTCTATAATAGCCGACTTATGCCCTGCCGTGTCAAACACTCGTTTATCGTGACGGGCGGGGGGGACTTAAGTATAAATATTATTTTAAAGGTTTGTAAAATTATTGTAACTACTGTAAACCGCGGGGAGGTACAGGAGCCTTCGAGACAAATGACCCTTCTATTCGGCCGTTCCGCTTTGGAGCCTCAAATGGATCCCATCTTACAAACCGCAATCTCGTTCGCATTTACGAGAGGGGGGGCCCCCGCGGCTAAGGGAGCCGCCGCGTGTTTTGATGCCACTGAGCCCGACTCGCACTGCAGATGTTTAGAAAGTTTGCGTGCAAGACCATGATGGTTATGAAAAAAAAATAGATTTTGTTTCAACCGGCGATCTTTATTGTGCGGGGCGACACCCACGTTTCACGATCCTGCCGAGCCGCTACGACGAACCCGTAACGCACAAATCCAATCCGATGTTGACTTGCGGGCAGCGATAGGCACTGCTTTGCTCTTTATGTTCTGAAGAAGAAACAAAAAGCAAAGTTTGGAGATCCCTCGGCTTGAAATGTTTTCTTTCGACACTGGGCAACAACTGGGACTGCTTTGAACCCCGCTCCCTACACAATTGGATAACGCTAAAAGGAAGTCCAGCCTGTTGGCACCGTAATGCAATTTCGCTCTGCCCTGCAATCACAGTCAATCGCGTGGCCACTTACAGCTGACAGTAGCTAACCCTATTGCTCTAAAAGGGTTGTCTCGTACGGTTAATGTAGTAATGCCGGGGGTCACGAGGTGTTGCTAAGCGCGCACGTCTCGGCGCTCACCGGTGCAATAATAGCGCAGTGTGGCAGCGTTGGCAAATGACTCACGAAAATCAAGTGGAAGGAGGAGCAGCGCAAGTAACTCGATGAATGGGGGCTACGTGTGGAAACTCGGCGTTATGGGTGTTCGTCCGAAGGCTTTTGTATCTCCCGGCAGCCTGAAAAATGTCATGGAATACCTGCCATGGAATTATCATTCTGAGTTCTGTGTTCATTGTAAAGAAAATGGTTTTTCTTTTGTTAATAAAAAACAAATGCTTTAACAAACGCATGTGCGGCTATATAAGGTGTTGAGTGGATGTGTGGGGGACCCTAATGGAGCCTTGACAAATACCGGATTTCCTTTTATATTTTCTAATCGGTGCCGTTTATTCAAATGAGAGGGGTATTTTGCGTGCAGAAAACTGCTCGGACCCATAAACATTGTGTTGGTCTCCTTCCAAGGCACTCATCCGCCCCGCGAACAGACTAAACACGTGTGTGTGCGTCGATTATACGTCAGGGACACACACACCCATATGTTGAACACAGACATTGGGACGCATGCTATCCAATCACAGCTACAATCAGGACGCCACTGTAAAATCGGCACAAATCACATGGTGGCGCATGACGCCAGCAGTGGACCGTTAATTATAAAAAAAAATTCCCGTTTTCAACAATTTGAACTCATTGTTGTGAACAACATTTGTTAGTTTAGGCCAAGTTTCGTTCCGTCAATCTTCACGGCACGCCGGTAAATGTCCCTGGGGTACGGCGAATCGGGGCGACTGCCCCGGGCCCCACGCTTCGGGGGTGCGGGTTGCCCCGGGCCCCGCACCCCGCTCTGGACGGCCCCTGGGCGCAGCTCCAGAACCAGTTGGGCGATGGCCGGAACAAAACTCCGTGCTCATTGTGCAGTCGAGAGGCTTCGCATTTGGAAAGTGCATCAGCTGTTCTGAAGCTAGGTGGTGTATTCCTGCAACCCATATACGTGCGCCGTAGATGGGTATTCAGATGAGACGCGGGGGGGGGGGGTTCTTTTGTCTCCTAATCATGCAGCGCAAATCCCTCTTGGATCCTTTTTTTGTTCGTCGAGTAAATGCAAATGACTTTGGTGAGTCTGGAGAAATATTTAGCGGGGAATGTTTCATTCACATCAAACTCCATTAGGCAGCATTAACAAGCCATAATTTCACCATTGTTATCGTAATTTGAGCATTTGTTCTCATTAATGTATTATGAACGTAATTGATAGCGGCGGTGACTTGAATGTTGTGTCGGATGGCTGGGTGTGCGTGCCAGAATTGTAAAGGTTTTTTTTTACTCGGGGTCCTGATCGCGCCCGCAGTTTCCGGTTCGGCTTGTTTGAATCGTGAGGTTGGCACGTGGGGAGAGAGCCGGGGTTGGCCCACGAAAAAATTAATGTTTTAATTTTCTCGAAAATTATTGAGCAATGCACCAAGAGAGAAGCATTTCGGAACTGTCGACAGCATTCTTTGCTAATTAAAGCTGAAGGCTCGTGCGTTTGGAGCAGATGCACGGAGCGACGCATGCTTGGCATTTCATTGAGACGCACGGAGAGGAACGCGTGACTGAGAGGGATCAGGAGGTTTCGGGACGTAATCTTTATTTAAGGAAAGTAAATGAGCTTGGCAAAGACGCGTCGCTGGAAGGGGGGGGGGGGGTATGGCTGGGTTGGTCAAGGCTTGCGTGGTGTGGCGGTCAAAGGAGGGAACGCACCCAAGAAAACGTCCAGCGTGGAGATGGAACGATTAAATTTGCGCGTATGCGGATAAGTGGATTTCTGCATGGTAGAATAGTGAAATACGGTGATGGTTTGGCGAGGCCTTCATCCAGCAGTTGATTGATCCTGGCTGATGGCAATGAAGAAAGCCTAGCGGTGCTGGCCACCCACCCCCTCGTGTGCCGTGCCGGCCTTCATAGGTGCTCGCTAGCAGCACTTGCCCCAACAGTCTGTGAAGGCTACACGGGGGATCTTTGTCTTTTTCGGGTGCCCCCCCCCCCTCACCACCCTCCGTGCGAGAGGAGCTGCAGCCAGGCCTGGTGACAGCCACTCGTGCTGAGCTGCGTCACTCAGGCACAGCGATGACCTCAAATGGGCTGTGTGCAGAATGGTCTCCCTCCCTCTCTCTCCCCCAGCTCTCCCCCACCCCCCTCCCATTACTCACCGCCTTCATCTGCTCTTGCCGCGATGCGCTTTACTCGCAGAGCGCCCGGGAAGTTGTTGATCGACGACGGGCAGCGGGAGGCAGGCGGCACCCACGGCATCGCCCCCCCTCCTCCTCCTCGGCAACCCACAGGCCCCCCCTACACCACCTAGGTTTCTGAGCCACTTACAGCTGGAGTGTTCATAACTCATACATTATTCAAATTCAATTTAGTCATTTTAGCCCCTTAATGATGTCTCATTAGAAAACGCGGCATAAATGACTCGGGGATTAAATGCAAAAATAATTGCTTCTTGATGAAGAAGGAAAGATTGAGCGACTGTGCCCGGTGTTGTTCTTACGGAGCGGGGGGGGGGTCGAGAGGTTCGAGTGGCCACGAGTTGACCGGGCGGTGCGGCCCCGGGCCCCGGGCCCCGCGCGGCTTCCCATCAGCAGCCGCCCTCGGCCGGCGGCAAGCGACGAGCAACGAACGGCGAAGAAGAAGAGCGCCATCGATCGGGTGACACGAACTTTTGACAGAGGCGTTCAGTGCCCGCTCGCCCGAGACGAGCGGCAGACCCAGACACGATGGATATTTTTGTTTATTTTTAATGGGATGCCCCAAATGAGTGATGGGTCGGCGCAGCGGACAGTCAGGCGCCGGGTTGGCGTGCGCCTCGCTCTCCGTGTCTCTCTCCTTGTCTCTCTCCGTGTCTCTCTCTCCGTGTCTCTCTCTCTCCGTGTCTCTCTCCGTGTCTTTCTCTCTCCGTGTCTCTCTCTCCGTGTCTCTCTCCTTGTCTCTCTCTCTCTGTCTCTCTGTGTGTCTGTGTTTCTCTGTGTGTCTCAGTGTCTCTTTCCGTATCTCTCTCTTCGTGTCTCTCTGTGTCTCTTTCCGTATCTCTCTCTTCGTGTCTCTCTCCATGTCTCTCTCTCCGTGTCTCTTTCCGTGTCTCTCGCTCTCCGTGTCTCTCTCTCTCCGTGTCTCTCTCTCTCCGTGTCTCTCTCTCTCCGTGTCTCTCTCCGTGTTTCTCTCTCTCTCTCCGTGTCTCTCTCCGTGTTTCTCTCTGTGTCTCTCTCTCTCCGTGTCTCCGTGTTTCTCTCTGTGTCTCTCTCTCTCCGTGTCTCTCTCCGTGTTTCTCTCTCTCTCTCCGTGTCTCTCTCCGTGTTTCTCTCTGTGTCTCTCTCTCTCCGTGTCTCTCTCCGTGTTTCTCTCTGTGTCTCTCTCTCTCCGTGTCTCTCTCCGTGTTTCTCTCTCTCCGTGTCTCTCTCTCTCCGTGTCTCTCTCTCTCCGGTCTCTCTCCGTGTTTCTCTCTGTGTCTCTCTCTCTCCGTGTCTCTCTCCGTGTGTCTCTCTCTCCGTGTCTCTCTCTCTCCGTGTCTCTCTCCGTGTCTTTCTGCGTGTCTCCGGACACGCTGCCGCTGACGACGGCAGCGTTTCGAGCGGGCGGCTGCCTCTTGGCGCCCGGCGGTGTCGGATTGAGGGCTGAACGATAAATCGATTTCAAATCCAAATCGCAATTGAAACAATGCGATTAGCAAATCCCCAAAGGCTGTGATTTTTTTGCGATTTTAAAAGTCCTATTACTTGCTTATTGGAATTGTGTTTTTATTACTTTATTTAACTTAACAATTGTTCTATGTTTGATTGCTCTATTTGAATTTAATTTTTTTAATAAATACATGTTGGAAGCAATTCATATATTTTAAGTTCTCATCCTTGCATTAGAATATATAGAGCAGTTAATATTTTGATGGTATCATGTGGTAATGCTCCACATGTTTTAAATCTCTTACACAGTGGATATTGAACTTGACTTATACAAATTTAATCGCAAAATCAAATCGCAATATCTGTTATAAAAATCGCAATTAGATATTTTCCCCAAATCGTTCAGCCCTCGTCGTATTGCCGTCACAGGCGCCCACTCTGCCGAGCAGCGCGCGTTCACTCGCGTCGGCCCAGTGAGAGGCAGAGGGCTTCGCTCTGCTCGCCGTGCCGTGCCCCCCGTACTCCACCGGGGGGGGGGACACACGGGCGCCCCCCCCCCCCCCTTCGCGCAGTCTTCCAGCAGGTCCGCCTTGAATTGGGTTTTTATTTAACGATATACAGTCCTGTGTGTGTGCATATCTCTCTCTCGAGCGCCGTCTGACACAGCTGAATAAGTCAGCCGCCGTCCAGATTTGACAGCGCCGTGCAGAGCAAACAAATCGGCGGTTCCTGCCCAAATGAGCGTGGAGGCGGTGCTCATCTGCCGCTGTTTACCGCTCCGCGCCAGCGGCTGAAACTTCGCGCGTGCCTTTGGAGCGAGGCTGAGTATCAATTGGACCACCGCCGTTGTTGACTTTCCCCGCAGTCGGCGCTCGTGCCTGGACCCCAGCGAGATGACGCTGCGAGTCATCCCGCAACGAGGATTTGAACTCGCGAACCTTCCGATCCGCAAGACGCTCGCCCCCCCTACCCCCCCGCCGGGAAGCGGCATAATAGCGAGGACGAACAGAAGTGATTACGATGCGCCGTGTTTGTTTTGGCGATTTCTTCTCGGCTTCATCCAACTGGGGTGTGCGCGATAATAATCAGGAGGGGGAACGAATTTGCAGGAAAGGGAAATTTCCTTCCTGTCCATCACGGCCTTCCACAGCGCGCGCGTGAGTAGCGGCGTGTTTGTGGGGGGGGGGGTCACGTGTGAGTAGCGGCGTGTGTGTGGGGGGGGGGTCACGTGCTGCGCATCGAACTTGGCGACCCGAGTTCGATTCCCGCTCACGACCAACACCAGTGGCGATTATCTGTGCAGTGAGTTCGACTGAGTCGCAGACGTAGACCTGAAGGCAACACATGTATTTAACTCCAACACACGGGGTAACTGCCCCTTAACAGAATAACAGCCTGTGGTGGTGACCACCAGGCTAACTACACCAGTTACAACGTGGCCTTTAGTAACCTCACCCTACGGCCGGCACTCCCCCACCCTGTCCTGTAGGGGCTGGCACTGCACGCCGAGCGTGGTGCCATCCAGCGCTGTCACTCAGCACTCACGGGGCCCCTCTCGGGCCGGCACTGCGCCCACACCCTCGTGGTGTCCGCGATGTCGCTCCTAGGACCGGCACTGCACGGTGACATCCCACGATGTCACTACAACTGTACCGGTCTTGGGCCTCCCCTAGGTTGACTCGGCCTCAAATGAGTACCTGCTGCGGTGTGTAGTAAACATCGCCACTCGGGAGACAAAGGCGGCCGAGCGTGGTGCTGGCCACCCACCACTTCGTGCGCCGTGCCGGCCTTCATCGGTGCTCCTCGCTAAGAGCACTTGCCCCAACAGTCTATTAAAGCTACACGGGGGATCTTTGTCTTTGGACCAGCAGTGGGAGCTGCTGATGCAAATTTGCTCCGTTTCGGCCGCGAGCATATACACAGAAATGAAGACGAATATTTAAACAAATCTTCACACCAACTAAACCATCGCATTTACCTCGCTCAGTGGCAACGTGTGCATCTACATTATTTATATATAGATGCATCAGACCTGCTGAATTCATGCCGACGGAATACTGGGTCTGCTTTGATGTTTGACCGAATGTTATCCGTGAATAAAATGTTTTACACGGAATTCGAGGGATACTGCTGCCACTGTGTCGTAACGGTCATCAGCGCACGTGACTGGCAATCCGGAGATCTCCGGTTCGATTCTATTTCCCGGCGCTGCAGGTGGATCAATATTGGGAGGGGAGGCTCATTGGTTAGTTGATCGGCAGGCAGTCCGCGAGTGGTGGGGTAAAGTGTGGGTATTATTACCTCGTCCTAGACGTCTGGCCAGCCA